CTTTTCTATTCAACATGGGCTTCCTTTTGGAATGAAGTGAAGATTTGGAAGTTTGTCCTACAGAAGGATTTTTGAACATAGGCTTGATTGGGACTTGTTTTGTTTTGGAAATCACTTGGGGTTTAGAATCATATGAGACTGACGAATCATCAACATGACTATCTAAAGATGCCCAAACACACTTAGAGAATTCAGGTCCATTTTTCTTCGGAAAAATTTCCTCAACAACACAGTTCTTCAGAGGATTGTGGTTCGGAATTTGAACAACAGTGTTCAGAATAGTAGAGTTGGATTCTGAGGTCCGATTCACGTCAAGGGTTATCATAGGCAGAAGAGGCGTGGAATCAAGACACTTAACAACTATAGGCTTAAACTCTGGAATTAGTGATGCAAATTGGTCAGAAGTCTCAAGAAGGGGTGACAAAGGTGAGATAAGGGTGTCCGAATGTTTGATGTTCGGAACGTCTCCCATAAAACTTAGGTTTTGTAAACTTCTTCAAGGGACGAGCAAAAGGTTTCGGAAGCTCGCTTCCGAGACCAGGAGATTTTGACCAAGGATGACGAAAACTGTGAGTCATCTGTTCATTTGCTTCAATAATATCAATGGAATTATGTAAAGCATCTATTTTAGCATTGAGATGTTTGTTTTCAGAAATTAAAACATATATTTTAGAATAAGTGATTTCACATTTGTCTTAAAGAATGATACATTCATCTTGTGACATTACAAGCTATTGTTCTAAAGACTCTATTTTCAACTTTTTATCCTCAAAACGTAATCTAAGACAACTTAATTCACTTTCCTTCTTCTCAGTGGCTTCTATGGGTGACTCATATGATTTGTAAATGATATTCATATCTGATTGGATTTGGGTTAGATATGGTTCACAAAGAGATAAGTCAAAATTATTATTAGTAATCATAGATTTTACCTGTTGAATGATGCTTTTGTCAGGTGGATCATTGGTAGCTATGTAGCAGTAGTTTGGTTCAACATCTTCTTCATCTCTCTCTGACCCAAACGACCAGTAGCCTTCATCACATCTAATTTCTTATCGAGTTATAAGACATATGGTTCTACCCGTGGTTATGTCATCATCATCTCCAAAAGAACAATATCCTTCCACATCCCAAGACACAGTGGTAACAAAATCCTTTTAACTTTCTACCATTTCTTAAGCTATACGTGCATAGTAAGTAGAATCATTGATCTTGGGTTTCTGTGGGACTTCGACTAAGCAATATTTGGTAAAGTGATTTGCATGACCACATTTGTGACATACAATGTTGGGTTTTTCTGACTTCAGAGTCTATGATGATTCCGAGGAGTGATTTGGTGTAGGGAGGTTAGGTTTGTAAGATGGTGGGTTTTCTAAAATTTTGTTGAAGGGTTGAGGATTATTTTGGTGAGGAGCATGAAAGCGGTAGTGATATGACTTGTTATTAGGACGATTGTATTTCATGGAAAGTAAGGTAAACTCCTATTCAAAACGGAGTTCAGAGTCCATATCATCAGGATTAAGGTCACTCATTGGTTGATAGTTGGTATTTATGGGAGCAGGTATGGTTGGAGGTGAGGGTTGAACATGTGGGATATATGGAACAACAGGTGAGAGAGCGTCCAAAATAGCAGGGCTTGGAATTAGTGGATCGTGGGAACTTACTACTGCTAAAAGACCTCTGTTGAGTTCTCGTAGGGTTTGTGCGACATTTGATTCATGACCTTGAAGCTCATCAAAGAGTTGGTAGAGCTTCATCTTTTTTGGACACCCATTACTCTGAAGACATGATTTCACGTTTCCCCATCCCTTTCTGAGGCTGTTAATGAACTTGAGTTCGGATTCAAGTGGGATTCAGACTATCCCACGAACTATCATGTTGTTAACGACGATTCGGTATCTGTTTGAGGTTGAGGCAACAAATTCACCAGGTGTTCTAGTGAAAGTGTTGAACTCATTTACAACCGTGTTTGGATGATTATCCTTCATGTTCTCTCACCCTTCAAACAAATCTTGAAGTGTGTCCCAAATCTCTTTTATGGATTTGCACAGTTTGATGTGCTCAAAGAGAGAAGGTGGAACACCAAAAACCATTTCGGAATTTTCAAGATCATCAGCAGTTAGAGGTGCTTGAGGTTGTTCATCCGGTCCCATGAGAGTTGCATCAGCATCTCTAACAATAGTTCGAACTGGAACATGAGGACCTTCTTTAATGGATCTCCAGATAGATTCACCTTTTTCTTTTCCAAGTAAAAATATTTCCATTATAACTTTTCAGTGGTCATACTCTTCAACAACTAGTAGTTGTTAATGTGTAAGGAAACCCATGCTATTTGCTATTTGCATTGAGTATATTTTTTGAGAATTAGAAGCAACCATTGAAGTTAGGATATCTTGAGCAAAAGTGGTATATAGAAGAACTTTTATCCTGAACACAGAAATGATCGAAATACTAAGGTAATCTCGAAACAACTATAATTTGTTCTTATGGATTCAAAGGACAACCACTCAATCTTTAATGCCAATTGTGAGAACAAGGATTTGATTGTGCAGGGACAAGGCTTAAGAACTCAAACCTTGATTTAATGCTTAAGATGCATGTCTGCTTCTGATTATACGTTCCAGTCAAGTCTGGCAACACCAATCGAGGATGAAGATGATAATCAACAAAGTAATTCAAGTATTAAATGTGGATTAATGAGAATAATCAAAGTAAAGACAATTAATGAACAAGTAGAATGTTTGAAAGAGTTTGATTTTTATAGAAAGATGCAAGTGAAGTAAATTCAAATATAGCTATCTTTGGTGGAACAATCTGTGATTAATTCTTGACATTAAACGCTCGTTAAATAGGAGAAAGGAGTACGCAGTACAAACTCAAACACATACATAGGACCGGACAAAACAGTTACTTCTGACACTCTGATTATCCATTTGACAAAATAAACAAATTCCTATGAATGGTTACATAAAGCTAAAAGGAAAGAATAATTAATACATAGATGGATTGATTGATTTAGACTTATTCTTCATACGAAACATCTTTTTTTTGAAAATACTCTATACTTGGGACACAAACTTCACTTCTGACCATCGACTTACTCCGGACCATATTCTACTCTGGAACTAAGACTAACTTTAGAACATGAACAGATAGAGATTTATAGAGGTTCATTTTCAGGTTCTAATAGCGTGAAGTGATGTTTAGTGGTGGCGGTGGGTAGTGATGGTGGTATATGGTGATGATGTGGGTGGGTGATTGTGTTGAGTGGTGGTGGAGATGGTTGTGGTGATGGTGGATGATGGATGCGTCGGTGGTGGTATTGTTGATGGGTGGGTGATGGTGGCGTGTGGTGATGTTTGGTGGTGGTGCATGGTAGTGGTGGTGGTGGGTGGTGGTTTGTGGTGGAGATGGTGGTGGCGGGTGATGGTGATGACGGTGACGTGTAGTGGTGATGGGTGGTGAAGGCGAGTGGTGGTGTATAAGTGGGTGGTCGTGGTGGGTAGTGGTGATGGGTGGTGGTGGTAGGTGATGGAGGTGGGTGGTGGTAATAGGTGGTGTGGTAGTGGTAGTTTGTGGGTGATGGGTGGTGGAGGCAGGTGGTGGTTATGGATGTTGATGGGGGTGGTGGTGTTGGTGGATGGTGGGTGGTGGTAGTGGCGGGTGGTGGTTGGTGGTTGGTAATAGTGACGGGTGGTGGTCGATGGTAGTGACGGGTGTTGGTACTAATGGTGGGTGGTGGTGGTTGAGGTAGGTGGTGGTGATGGGTGGTGAGGGCTGGTAGTAGTGATGGTGGTGGGTGGTGGGTAGTGGTGGTGGTTGGTAGGTGGTGATTGGTGGGTCGTGGTGAGGGGTGGTCGTGGTGGGTCGTGGTAATGGTGGTTTTGGTGGGTGATGGGTGGCGGTGGTAGCGGGTGATGGTGATGGGTGGTGTTGGTGGTGGCGGCGAGTGGTGGTGATGGGTGGTAGAAGTGAGTGGTAGTAATGGATAATGGTGGGTAGGTGGTGGTATTTGTGGTTGGTGGTAGCGGCGGTGTTGGTAATGGTGGTAGGTGGTGGGGGTGGTTGTGGCGGGTGATAGTGATGATGGTTGTGGGTGGTGGTTTTGGTGGGTGACAGGTGGGGTGGTGGTAATAGGTGGTAGAGGCAGGTCATGGTGATAGTTGGTGGCCGAGACGGTGTATGTTGGTGGTGGGGGTGGTGGTGGTGATGGTGTGGTGGGTGGTGGTAATTGGTTGTCGGTTTTGGTGATTGGGGTTTAGTAGTGGTGGTGGGTGCTTTCGGTTAGTGGGTTGTAGGTGGTGGTGATGGTTGGTAGGTAGTTTTCGAGATTATCATGGTTGAGTGGTGAGTGATGTAGATTAGTGGGTTTTTAATTGTTTTTAACTAGTTTTTGCTTTATATGGATATTATGTTATAGTTTCTTATTTAATTATAAAAGTGCTACCTTGCAAATTAAATAAGAATTTTGTTCTCAAATATTCTCGCAATAAGAAATGTTCTCGATTGAACAACCCTATATATATATATATATATATATATATATATATATATATATATATATATATATATATATATATATATAGGGTTAGGTTATTTTGTTTTTGCTAAGTATTGTGTGCATGTGTAAATCATTTTAGACCAATCATTTGCGTTAAATTAAGAAAATGATTTTCCTTCAAAATTAAATAGAAAAAAACAAATTAATAGAATTTCATTAAATGACCGGGCATGGAAGGGCACTATCGGACATTACCTTAGTCATTTTAATAGGAAACCTTCGTTTATTTTAGAGGTGATTCACCCGATCAACCCAAATGTCTCGCAAACAATCAAAACCAAAAACCCATTGCTTTCGGAGATCGAAACATATACTGATTTTGTGTATTCAATCTTCAAAATTGGAAGATTTTGTGAAGGTGTTTAATATAAATCTCGACACTAAACCCTAGAAGACGGAGAAGGCATTGGGGGTTTTATGTGAACTGTATTCTTGAAGAATGAGGAGTACAAGATCGATTTCATTCAAGGCGAAGTTTAAGAACATGAAAGAGGCAGTGTTGAATCTTGATGACAATGATGATGATTTGTGTTCGAAACCTGAAGGTAACGATTTTTTATTTTAGTGGATGTTTATTGAGTTTAGACTAATTTATGTATGTATGATTTGTGTTTTGCAAACAAAAGGTGTGATTTTGCTTGAAGTCCTTAATAAAATTAAGTAGTTATGAGATTCTACTTTGATGTTAAAAAAAAAAAACTGATAATCTGATAGAATCAACTAGTTATGGGTCTTATTCTGGTAGAATGTTTGAATCATGTAAAAGTAAATATGTTTGATATTCTTTTAGAATAGATTCTGATAATGTATGTGATAAGATTACAACGAAAATTCCTGTAAATAAGGAGTTATGTAGCAGGGTATAATGATTTGAGATTCTTTTGTAATCAAAATCTATATATGATTAATGAATTGAATTGAAACATTTACAACTCTTATAGAATGATAGACTTTATATGTAGAATATTCTGGTAGAATGCAATTACATATATGATTGTGAGTATTTCCATGGTTAATGGCGTATGTGTCAAATTGACATGTATTATATTCTTGTAGAATTCTACTTTATATGTAGAATATTCTGGTAGAATGTAACTATTTATATGAGTGTGAGTGTTTTCATGTTAAGTGGCTTATGTCTCAAGTTGATATTTAGGATATTCTAGTAGAATTAAATGTTATTCATTTTATTACAATTTGTTTTTTATTTTGTTAGAACTACAACTTTGTATATGAATGTGAGTATTTCAATGGTTATTGGATTAGGTATCAAAGTGACATGTATGATATTCTATTAGTATCTTTTTATTCTAATAGAATATTCAACTATGTGTATACTATGTTTATTCTGTTAGTATCTTTATATTCTGATAGAATTTCAACTATGTGTATAGTACATTTAATTCATTCTAATACATTTTTATTATGTTGGAATGAAAAACAAATTATTTTAAAACATTTATAATGTAGTGTGTTTTAGTCATGAATTGAATATATTATACTATACATTCTAATATGTAGTGTATGTGTGTGTGTGTGTGTTATAGCAGGATAAGTACAAGAACAAGAAAAACACGTGAAATGAGAAATAAGGTCGAATTTTTTTTGTTTTGATAAATCAATTCCAGCGAAGAAAATTCCTAAACCTTTAAATGTACTTCTCTTGGAAGAAGAGATAAGTTCAAAGAGAAAATATGAGAAAGTTACAATTGTAAAAAATTTAAAGAACAAGGATATTAAAGAATATGTCAAGGAGGAATAAGAAGATAATGTTAGAAAAACAAGTAAGGAGCATCCACCTAGTTTAGGAAACCTTCCAAAAAGAATGAAATGTGATAACATCACTACAGTTAGTAAGGCAGTTGGTGTTGGTAGATGACTTCTCAAAGTTAAATTGGTGTAAATATATGCTTGACTTTTTGGGATCAAGGAAGAGACTATGGAAAAGGGATGCCAAATCAAGCTACTACAGTGGTCCTATTACACTCCTGATAGTAAGTGTGAAATGGTATTATAGTAAAATATAGATTTGGTAATAATTTATTATTGGTGTATTGATTAACTTAATATTTTTTATTTTTTGTAGTTGGTGTATGTGTATAACATGAAGTATGCTATAATGTTAAATAAAAGGCTTTCGTTTTATTGAGCGTAATACGGGTGCTAATTTATTAGAGATTCAATGCTTGGAGATTAGTTTTGGAGGGCTCGGGAGGCAATTTTGGGAGGACCATGAGGATGTTGATATGAAGGATGAAACAGGTTGCGAAGAGGAAAAATTGGTCAGTTTTAAGAGGGATTTTGGAGATGAGGAGGTAATAGTATTTTTTTACATACTTTGCTAATTTGTTGTAATTGTAAGTAATAATTTAATGAATATTCTATTAGAATTTAAATTCGACAAAATTACAAAAATGGTCCCTATGGTTTGTCAAAAGTAACAAACTTAGTCCCTATCTATTTTTTTATGCATTTGGCCATTGTGGTTTGTAAAAGTTGCATTGGAGATCCTATTTCATAACACCATCAATTTGTAGGCGTTTGGGGTCATTAAGTTGGGGGTATATTCGTCTTTTTACGTTTGGTGCTCATTTACGATGGATTAGCCAGCGATACGTCATTAACCTATCCTCATTAACCAGAGTCCAAGAAACCCCCTTCATATCCTCTTCACCTTAGGTTACTGATCATCTTGACGATCTTCATCCTTCATCCCTCCCATCCGATTTTAGGTTTTATCAACTGAAGATGGTACTTTGTATGTGGAATTTACGTGGTCCTCATACGATTGCACCCCACCTTGATAATGATTACAGTAAGTTGTTTCATCTTTTGTTTGATGTTTCTTGGTTTATATATTCAAGGCTCATCGTTTTTGTTTTTTCGATGGTCACGACAATTTCTTCACTTTAAAGATACATCATGGTGGATTTTTTTCAAAGTTCCCTGGAAGAAAGTACGTTGAGGGAAGTTTGGCATTCTATGACTTTTTTGACGCTGATCTTTTTTTAGTTCATGATCTAAATGACATGATTTGTGAGATAGGGTATTCTGCGGATGACACAATGGACTATCATTATAGAATTCCTAATCTAGACTTAGATTTTGGATTGAAGGCTCTAGGAAATGATCAAGACGTTATATCTATGACTCAATTTGTCCCTCAAAACAGAGTGATTAATGTGTACGTTGAACATGGGTCTACAAGACTTCATACTTACTTCATGTCCCCAAGTAAAGTTGTTATTGAGTAACTGGATGATGATCCTTCTCCTAAGCTTAATAGGATTAGGCCTAAGAAGAAGGGAATTGGTTCGTGTAGCAAGAAATTAGACATGAATGTCCCACTTAAAGAATCAAATAATCAAGCTCAGAGAAAAGATGGTGTGTATGATTATTCCATGTCCCTAGTTCCTTTTGAGCCAAACAAACAAGACATGGTTAATGAGCTTAAGGATGATTCGTATTTCCCTGTACCAAAAGAAACTGATATAATGCAAGAAATTACAGTTGATATTAATTACCAGAATCATAGGGAAAGGCTAGATGATTTTGAGCCTTTTAGTAGTGATGGATATCAGAATATGGGTGAGTTTGAAAGAGAGGTTGAAGCTGAAGAAGAACAGGATGAAGAAGATGAAAAAGAGAATGCAGAGGATTCAAAAGATGATTCAGAAGAGCATACAGCAGAAGATGATGATTCTAACTACATTGTTGACCCAGAAGCTATTTTAGATGACTGGGAGGTTGATATGAGAGAGTTTCACAGTTGTGTGGATGGGGTTGAATGGTTTGGACAAGGTCCAAACATATAATTAGATTTAAATCAAGATGATGATTTAGGTGTGATCAACAATGATGACTTTGAAAGTCCAGGATATGAGGAAGACCTAAGGAAGAGAATGTTAAAAAACCTGAACACGAAGGTGCCTTGTTCTTCTGGGGTAATTCATGTTACACCATTTTTTGTGGGTCAAGCTTTTAAAACCAAAAAAGATATACAAGGCCACGTGAAGATGCTTTCAATAAAAACAAGGAGGGCCTACACATGGCAAAAAATGAAAATTTGAGAGTAAGAGTCAAGTGTAAAGGGGTGGTTCCAGATTCCACTGATTGTGGGCCCTCCACTGTAAGTAAAGCCACATCGAAGGGCAAAACTATAATTTCACAAAAATATTCTTTTCCTTTTGCTATTTAGATTTCTAGATCTACGGAAGAGGAACAATGGTTGGTGAAGACAGTTATTGATGAGCATTTATGCTTACAAAGTAGAAATGTGAAGGCATGTACATCTAGATATCTTGCAATGGAGGGGAGAAGAGTTTAGAGATCACTTATGGAGGTGTGCTACAAATACAACCATTAGGCACTTTAAAAGGACAATGGATGAGTTCAAAGATTTCAATGCAGAGGCTCATGAATGGCTAAGTAAGATTCCTCCAGTTCATTGGGCTAGGTCTCATTTCCTAGGTAGAGCCCATTCAGATTCTGTTTTAAACAATTTGTGTGAAGTATTCAACTCTAAGCTAGAGCATGGAAAGAAGAAGCCTATAATTACATGTTTAGAGTACATAAGAGTGTACTTGATGAAGAGACATTGCATTGTACAAAAAGAAATTGATAAATGCAAAAGTCTATTAACCCCTACTGCAACTACTATACTTGACATAATCAAAACAGTTGCAAGCAAATATAGGGCACTCTTCTGTGGTTCTAGAAAATATCAAGTGACTGGTATGATGTTTGATCAGTATATGGTCAACTTGAAAGAGGGTACATGTAATTGTAGGTACTGGGAGATAACAAGGATAGTCTGCTGGCATGGAGTTTGTGTAATATGGGAACATATTCAAAATGGTGAAAAAGCCCAACAACCTGAATAATTGGTGCATCCTTGTTATAAGCTAGAAACATGGAGGGCAATGTACTCTAAAAAAATAGATCCAATCAATGGCAGGAGCATGTGGCCAAAATCTAGATGTCCAACCACTCTTATACCACCTACACATCACACACAAGCAAGTTGAATGTTAGTTAACATAGTTTCTTATTTATCCAGTTTTAAGATTTCCTTAATGTTTTTGTAGGTTGGAAGGCAAAAGAAAAAGAGGAGGAGGGCTATAGATGAGCCTACTAACCAGTCAAAAACCCTAAATAGGAAATTCTTGACTGTTACTTGTTCCAAGTGTCATAATAAAGGACGTAACTCTAGAATATGTGAGGGGAAAGGGTGATTAAGTCAGAGAGAAGTGGGTTGATCAAGTCAAGGTGGTGTGGGTGGATCAAGTAAAGATGCAGTGGGTGGAACAAGTCAAGGTTCAGTGGGTGGATCAAGTGAAGATGTCATGGGTGGGTTATGAGCAAAGAAGATAGACAAGGGAAAAAAGCCTCAAGTAGGACCTAAGTGAAGTTGGATACAGATGAAAGCATGAATAATCAAGTTATTTGGCTACCTTTTGTTAAAGATTATAAACTTGTATTGATGCTTTTGTTAAAACATGTTTAATCTAGATCATTACATCTTTTTGCAACTACCTAAATTAGTGATGCAATTAAGTTGATATTAGCCATATGTCATGCTACATTTCTGGTTATAATGATCTCAGTTATCATGTTTTGATATGGTGTGTTTCTCATTCCATTCCATTGTTTAATAATGACCAAAACTCATTCCATTCCATTGTTTGATAATGTCCAAAACTCATTCCATTCCATTGTTTGATAATGTCCAAAACTCATTCCATTCCATTGTTTGATAAATGACCAAAACACATTCCATTCCATTGATTACTTATAGGGTTTTGACCTTGTATTTTCTCATTCCATTCCAATCTTTGATAAAAGGACACAACTCATTCCATTCCAATCTTTGATAAATGGAAACAACTCTTTCCATTCCATTCCAATATTCCTGATCAATAATAATAAAAAAAACAATGCTTTATAATTAACATAAGACAAAATACTATTAAACTGATTAACCAAAACCATACATTACATTAAGATTCTAATACATGACATCCCATCCCAAAATCAACTGGTAATATCCCATTCCAGTTCAACACACCATCCGACATTACATATCCAAAATACACTGACCAAATGCATCCCCAAATCCAACTACTACTTAGTGCATACATATATAAACTTAAAAAAAGAACCAAGACATAATAAGCATCCACTTGAGCTTCACAACATCTCCACGAGCTTGAATCAACATCATTTGACCATTGTTCATTCTCCTCAGCAAACTAGGAATCACCTCCATAACTCTATGGCACATCGGATCATCCATCCACCCAAGAAATGGACAGCTTCGACCATTTCGAGCACAAGACCATAATCGTCTTCCTGGGTTGAGGTCTGTCCAAGATATGACTCTCACAGCAACACTTCCACACTTACAAATCACCATTCTTGCAGGAGAGGAGAGCTTCGATTTTTTAGAGATGCTAGCTTGATTTTTGTGAACGTTAGTTAGGGCTTAGTAAAGGGGGTGGAGAAGCAAACGTAAAAAGACGAATATACCCCCAACTTAATGACCCCAAACGGCTACAAATTGACAGTGTTATGAAAAAGGACCTCCAATGAAACTTTTACAAACCACAATGGCCAAATGCATCAAAAAAAATAGATAGGGACTAAGTTTGTTACTTTTGACAAACCACAGGGACCATTTTTGTAATTTTGTCCTTAAATTAAATAATTTGGAATAATATTTGATTGACTATATATTTCTCTTATAAAAGTTGTTGAAATATTCTTGTAATGTATTTAATAATTAATTATGTGTATCGCAGGCGTACGCTGCTGTTTTAGAGTATAGTTATGGGTTAATTATAACAAAAAAACATACTATGGAAGTTGTGTTGAAGGATGGTTTCGAAAAATCCCCTAATAGTGTGGTGCTGAAAGAGTGGATGGAAAAGATGAATGAGCTTTTTATTGAAGTACATGAAGGGTCAAACAACAAAAACATGCATGATCTGGAGGGTTATAAGAGTTTAATCTGAATGATATAGGTGATGGTGTTGAAGGAAATAGTTCACCTGTTAGAAGATTGATAGTTAATGAAATTAATGCACAAAAAGATGTCAATTATAGTACACGTGTTGATACCAATTCGTTAACAATGAGTCAGTTTCATAAACTTCAGGGGGTGAATGATGAAATTATTAGTTTGTTGGATGAAACATAGTTACAAGTGTATAGAAGGAAAAAATTAATGTGAGGATTCAGTGGAGATAATGTGTTGGAAGAAATCTAGGAGAAGCTGTTCATAATGCTGCAGAAGAAGATGATAATGAAAAAAGGGACAAACGTATCCCTAAAAAGTCAAACATATTTCATTCTCCCTATATTAAAAGAATTATTAAGGTTGGGGATAAACTGAATAAGGATGAAATTGGAATATGTAATTTAGTTTTTGCATCAAATAGAGATGATGGGTAAGTATGTATGAGTCGCTTAGTATTTTTTAAAATACAAATATGACTCTTTATAGATTGATTTTAATTATAATTTTTGTTACTAGGATGAGATCTACGACATTGGAACATGTCCAGTGTTGCACCAAGTTTTTGCATATGAATTTAATCAAACAATGTTTATACATTCTAAAATAATTGATTATTGGGTTCGGTTTTTAAATAAAATGGAGAACTATAAGGATGAATCATCACATTCAAGATTTTTCTTCGATACAACTATTGTGATATGAGGGTTTTTTTAAAACTAATTAAACTTCAATTTTTTTTATAATTAATATTGATGGTGATGTGGGTTTTGGTAATGACCCGATATTTCAAATCAGCGTAATAGTCTAGGTGAACCTTTGTAACTAGTTTTTAAAGTAATAAAGAGAAATTATTTGAATAATATTTGCAATTACTTATTTATAAAGATGTATAAATTAAGATAAAAATGATCTTCAAAAATAAAATGTTAGATAAACTCGATATGCATGAAGAAACTTGTAGTGTTCGTGACAAGGTTTTCGGAAATATAAAGAACGTTGAAATCCGAGTTATAACGAAGAAGTTATGACCTATCAAATTTTCGCGATAAAATAAATGTTAGCCTTAGCAATCTAAGTAAAAGTTGTAGCATACGTAAAACCAAGAGCGTACAGAAAAAGAACATCCAAATCTGACTTCGTATGAGGAAGTTATGATTTTTCTAAAGATTCAGCATAGCAGTATACAACCCGAATTTCGAGTAAAAAATCAAACGATGTTTAGCCGACACATCCTAAATGCGAATCGAGGATCTCGTCATTTATTGTTCAACGGTAAAAAGACAGACGAAAATGGACATTAGATGAAGAAATTATGAATTTTTAACCGATTTTTTCTGTCCCACCCAGTTAAAAATATAATATTAAAAATTAGCTAACAGAGTCTAAATGAAAGTTGTAGAGCATGGTCTCACCTACGCGTGGATATAAAGTCCATCAAAAATGAAGCTTGTATGAAAAAGTTACTAATTTTTGAAGCTAGATAAATAAGTTCTCGAAGAAGTACGCCGCGTGTAAAAAAGAGTACGTAACTTCGATGCGTGTTAGTAACCTTGACACGTCTGCAGCCTGGAACCCGATCAAAGACCACGTAGTCACTACGCCCAACGTACAAAAAGAGTACGCCCAGCATACTCGGACTAGCCTCGATGCGTATCAGAGGCCATGTATCTATGCCTAGTGTAATGCGAGGCCTCGGCCTCCTATAAATAGCATGCGAGATATCTGGGTTTGGTTTAAAATTTTCATTCCTCCTTTCACTTTAAACCCCCTTTCAAGCTACTTTAAACCCCCCCCCCC